AATAGGAGATGTGGCCGAGATTCCTTATTTATGACAGAGTTTTTATTCGTTGATGAGATCGAATACCGAACGTAAATCAAACAGCACAGACTAGTTCGAGTGATCACACTGGCTGTGCCTTTCTGCACAGAATAAATTTTAAAAAAATTGAAAGGGGTCACCGTTGGTAAATATTCTCAGAACGTTCTATGGACCAAGTTTCGTCGAAAATGATGGAATACTTCGGATGTATGTATAATTGGGTTCCCAGCCAGGTAATCAGCCTATAAACACAACGATTTTATCCACCAAGATTCAAAAACTACCTCATAACCGACTCCCGATGGTTTAGGGCTTGGTAGAATTGTCGGAGAATTGATCTGGATGTGATCCTTGAGGTTGCACCGCTAGGGTGGCTCTCTCTAGATCGTTTTTTTTTGCGTTTTCTTTTACTTTTTTATTTTTTTGGGATTTCGTCCTGAGGACGGTCCGGTCTGTTTGTTGAGTAGAACTACCAAGTGTGCCACATTCGAGAGAATCAATCTCATGTACTATCTTGCCTCGCTAGCGCCCTACAGTGGCATTCTGAAGTTTCTTCTTCAATGAGCAGCTTCGAACAACACTAGGAAATAGAACGTTCAAGTCGAAATATTATTATTTTGAAGAAAGCAGCCGAGCCGACCTTTCAATAAAATTTGCACTTCGCCCAACCCTGCACACGACCTTCTGCTCTCTTGAGCAGGGTGACACCATGCTACAGTGTTAATATTGACGTTGCGTGAAGTTTAGAATTTTTTCTGTCCCGAAGTCTCATGTTGATCTAAATGTGTAATAAACAATGTGAGACTTCAAAATTTATTGCAAAGACTCTAAAACTTTTACAAAAGAAATTGCAAAAACGTGTGAGTGCAAAAGCTGCAAAAATTAGTTCTTTTTGGGGAGCTTTCGGCTTTCAGTGCCTTTGTCATTCCCTTTGTTGCAGTAAACTCTAGGCTCTGTTCCCATAGCTTTCCTGATAATTGTCCGAGGCCTTTAGGGGAGGAGAGAAAAGCTTCTGGCGGCGCGGACGCGAGCGCGTGCTGGTGACGTCAAAATGACGTCGCAGCTGCGGCAGATTTGAAGGAAGGGCGAGCAGTGGCCAGCGCCGCTGCCACTTTGCTATGGGATAACGCTGGGTTTTCGGCACTATACCTTTTTCAATCAGTTGTGTCAAGCGAAATGATTTTTTACCAGGTAGCATCCTTGCCCTAGGAATTGGAATTTCTTGAAAATGTAGAGGAAGTCGTGGCTTTTATTTGTAAACCCTTAGAAGTACAATGTCATAAATTGAGTGAGCTAAGTATCTTTCGTGTTCAACCTTCTTACTTCTACTTATAACGCAGTGAAGTAAGAGCACGACAGATGCTCGGAGTACTTAATATATTGAAGTAATGGTGGCAAAGCTGGCCCTTGCTCGCTCCCTTGCCGCCGTTGTGACGTCACCAACACGCGAACGCGTCCGCGCCGCCGGTGCCCTTTTCCATGGAGCCGACCTTCAGCCATGCTTGAGCTTTCGAGAACTACGTTTACGTGGAGGTCGATACTTTGCCGTGATAAATTTCCACCTCGAAACCTCATAGGAGGAGTATAATGAACATCAAAAGGTCCTCACAGGTTGCATTCATCCAGTGCAACCGAACACAGATTATGACTTTTTAGCGTCGTGTCTTTCTAGCCCAACCCACCCCTTTTTCAACGTGGTAAACCACTTCCGAGCGGTTGACTCACTTGTGGCATTTTTCCCTACACAGTGTAAACGTCAGAGGCGTTTCTTAGTCCTTTTGAAATCAAAGAATAGCAGTTGTTGGAAATGTTGATTTTTGCAGCGTGGATATTCTGCTTACTGAGTCATATATGGGAACGCACATAGAGTACTGAAAAAATCGTTGTAGAGCAGAAAGTATACTTCCATTAAATTTAGTAATTAATCAGACATGTAGGCCACAAATATAGTACAGTTTCGGGTTGAACTTTATGCGAGAAACTGTAGATAAAGGCTCATTCCAAGTCAGGTTGGATATATCAGTGGTTAGTAATCATTACTTCTTCTTTGTTATCCCTTCAGTTGCTCCTGATATAGGTCCAACGACTTTTTAAAAACGCTATATATAAAAACATACATAGTGCTTATATAAAGAATAAACTAACATATAATAAAAAAATAACATAAAATACAAAGCTTACACAGAAACACTGTGATATTACGTGCCCCAATACTTTTAAATGCTTTTTGTTTTGTTCTCTCCCTCTCTCTCTATCGCTTTCTCCCGCAATTCTATGATATTGCCGTTTCATGCCTAACTTGACGTGACCGGTCTTGACAGTTTCGTGTGGGAAAACTACTTACTACCGCATCTAATTTACTTTTCTGATCCCTTGACCCCTTCCCCTACACCCCTCCCAAGGTTCTTCCCTTTTGTGCGGCCCATTTGGAGTTCACAAAAATTCATTCAATATCGTAGCGACATAATAATGATCGCTCGCTGTTTGCTCTGACAGTAGTGAATTGCCTTTCAACAGAATATTAGTGGAAGACGAATTATCGGACTCTCGGTAAACATCGGCTAATAATTTGCAAAACGAATTTTTGTTGTAGAGAGCTCAGTATAGCCGTTCTGGGTTCTCAGTGCTTCCTTCTTCCTGTTATGCCTCTGGCCACGTTTTCAAAGGAGGATTCCACCATAACTTCGAAGGTCGAAGAAGGGGGAATAGACTCAACCGAAGGATAGACGGGTTCTCTAGGGATGCGAGACGATGCGGGTCTCTGCGCTTTGCCCCAAGCGGCCTAGTAGGGCCGCAGCCGAGCTCTCGCCGTCGGACCATAGTCGCGGATATTAGCCGTTTAGCAGAGACGCAGAGCAGCGCATTCATGTTGATGACGTCAGCACCGATGAAACTCACAATATGCGGACGGAAATCAAAAAGCAAAATGCGGATGGAAATCAGAAAGTAGAAAAGTCTTACCTCTCGGGTTATAGACTGTTTATTTGGTTCTTTCTCCATTCTGTGTCACTATTCACCTCTACCTTGATTTGTGATGAGCTGCCCTTTAGAGGGAATCAAGTCTAAGTAAGCAATTGAGCTCATTGCTCTTACTTAACTTTTATCTTCAGGAGCAAACCTTTATCAGCGCAACCTATAAGACCTCAAAGTTAAAAACAAGTACGGCACCAGAGAACAGTTGGGAGCAAATTGTCACGTGTGGCTGAAGCGATACCAGTTAAATAATAATCATCCTTTTCGGGTCCTGCTCCCCATAAGGGGAGAGGAACTCTGAGGTGAATCTACAAAGAACGCAAGCATCTAACCATCTCTGAGTCCCAAGTGAATTTCGCTACAACCTCCCCTTCCCCGCTGTTGAGGACGCTTCAGTGTTGGCTCACTCCAGTTGGGACAAACTTCTGCGTGTTTTCTGGAAACCAACTCAACAGCTACTGTCTTCGTTGATTTTTTTTTACCAAAGTGGTCTCCATACGACTTGTCTTTTTTGAACATATTCCTAACACCTTATCGATAGTGCAATGAAACTGCAGTTTTCTGCAGTGGTTGGCTTTACGACCTCCCATTATCAGTACCAGTCTGCAAATGGGAACAAAAGACCTTGCCAGCTATGTCGAGTGTTGGACTCGTTGACCACTTTCATGAGTCTCCTTTTGCCCTGCAGACTATGCTGCAAAGCGCAGAGACGGGCTGAACTGGGAAGCTGCCCAAAATCGCACTTCTGGATGGGATTCATGAACTATCCAATCTCTAATCACCGAATCTTTTTCTATGTACATGTGGTGCTGAGCCTATGTTACTTGCGCAAATACAAGTATTATATTTTCGCAAGTAGCATAGGCGCAGCACCCATCATATGCAGAACACGCAACGCATGTGTCAGGCGCGAAATTGGCATTGGAAACATCGCATCGTCGCACGGTGACTTCTCGCCACGCGACCAAGGCGAAACAATCTGTAGCGGTAATGCCTGCTCACTCAAGATGCACACTTTGCTCTACTTTTGTTTGTGCTAGTGCAGCTGCTCGAGCCCTTTCAGTTACTCAGCTGAGGTCTGCTGGTCCCCTGAAGGCACCAGGGCCGGGTTGGTGTGGTTCTTGCACACGAAAGATGAAGCAGAAGCGCACGGTGAGTCGGCAGTGATGAAGGGAAAGAATTGGTCGAGAACTGGAATTGAAGGCTCCCTCCTTTCTACGAGACAGACTGTGCTTATTCGAGGAAACACAGCATCGAAAAAAGAGGAGAGACCGTAGAACGCAACAGGCGAGAGGTGCCAGGCAACCCCCTCTCCCTTTCATAGACCGTCTAACCGAGGCAAATGGGAGAACGGCAGGAAGAATTCTGGTGAGGGCATAGCGCCTTTTTGGAGGATTTTGAGCCACCCAAATGGAGCACATGCGACATTCTTTGACAACCTAAGGACTGATCCACCTGAACTCGTCGTTGGATATGACTTTAGCTGTGGCCCTCCTCGAGCGTCAATTTGTTACATGACAAACTTTGAAAGCTCAGTAAAACCTTTACTTCAAAAGGTGCTAAATATAAGTTGATCACAGCGAACATTTATTAGTACAATTGTAATACTAGAGGTATTTCGCAAATTCATAATAAAACGTTATGATTAGAGCACCACCAGTTGAACGGAATGAATTCGTCATTGCACCACGGTAAAAGCCTCGGTAGCCTTTGCTCCTGAAATGGAAGGTTTCAATTGGAAGCCTAAAAAAGGTTGACGAGTGCGAAGAAGCGGAATTTTTCGAAGAATATAAACGCTTTAAGGAGTGAATAATTTTAAAATAATAATCAGCTGACTCATTTTTGCATTTTTCCAGCTTTTGAAGTTTGTGTCAGCTGTACTCTGCTGCAGTGGTCTGAGCTACCGGCAATGCCCGGTAGCTATTCGGGGGGTGATCGAGATCTCATTCAAATGGGTTTTTTTTTGAGTTTTTCAAGAATTGGTCTCGCGCCAGAGAAGGGCGAATCGTTTGTCAGCCATATTCTCCTTTTTTTGAACCCTTCCCACTGCATTTGAACGTTTCGAAACAGCCATTTCACTTACTTTCAGTTCCTCTGAGATCATGGTGCTTGCAATCTTTATCATGGAATTTTTTTCGCTGGTCTGGTCGTTTTTGCTGTTGAGATCAAAATCAACATTTTTACATGGTGAAAATCATTATCGACAAACGAACTGCGATGAAGGTTAATCACTTCAAATTTGCACAAAAGTTCGATAAGCTTGAGCAGCTAATTTGTCTACATCAGAAAAAAAGTAAGTAGACGTCAAAAATACATCTTTTGAACGCCCCATTAGTTGCGTTTGTAAACAACGAATAAATCAAAAACAGAAATGCTGTAGAAACTCTCCATTCACATGGAGCAATGTTAAAACTATTCTAAGATTTCATAGATAACATTGGTTTAATTTTCGCAGGAAAAAGATGGACAAACATGCTTGTTTTTTGGTAATGAATTTTTTTCAAGTTTCAACTTTCTACTTCAAAGCATTCTTCTACGAGCATTTGCTTTATTCTAAGTTCTCGCTTGGTGAGCAGCAGTAATCCGTAACGCTTTTATATATGAATCTGTATATCTCTTATTTGTAAGATTTCAGGGTGTAAGGTAAGACAGTTGGCGACTTATTATTACTTTCAATCGATGCCACTGATCAACTAGGTTCGTCAGCTATTATATAGGCACGCAAAATGAATTAGGTTACTTAAAGACACGGGTCGTGATGAAATCCTTAAAGGATTCTTGCTTGAGTCAGTTAGCACAACCTCTAATCACGGAGGTGGTGGTACAGTCGCGGCTTGGAAAGTGCGCGACAAGGGAACTAATGCCTTCTGAAAAGGGAAGGTCTTTCAGGGCAAGGTGCGCTTTTTGGAAACGGTTTAGTACATGTTGTAGGGACGCATGTATGGACCACAAAACCATGTTTCGTTTTCGCTGAACGGTTTTAGTAGTACCAAAAAAGTGGTGAATAATACTCTTGATGGTTCAATCCCCCGCGGCGACTAAATTTTGCAATCAAGGTTGGCGGCCACTTGTTGGCTTCAAAATGGTCCTGACGATGAATTTGACATCTGATTTTGATATTTAGCGCGATTTGGCAAACAATAGGCGCCAACCCAAATGCAAAATTTAGTCGCCACGGGGATCGAACCCTTAACAGTACCTTATGCTTCTTTTTTGGTACTGCTATAACCGAAATGAAACATGGTTTTGCGTTCCCTACATGCGTCCCTACAATATGCACAAAACCGTTTTGAAAAAGCGCACCTTGCCCTGAAAGACCTCCCTTGTGAGTGTCACGTGGTGCACTGGCAGTGCCGCTGCGACCACTGTCATTGCCGCGCACGTGGCGTCTGCGACTTCTCGCGTACGACGTACTCTCTCGCGTTTCTCCTTTTCTCGCAGCGCTGCGTCTTCATATTGTACCACAGTCGAACACACCAGGAAAATTTCAGGGTTTCAACGGTTTCTGCGTTTTCCCCCTCTGATGTTCCTACTCATACTTCTTGCCTGAGTTCCAACAAAATATCGCACTATTTTGATCGCAATCCGTGCCTTTCAAGTTGGTTTGTATTGTAAATATTGTGCAAACCTCATGACACATTCCGAAATTCCAGCATATGCAAGCATTTCTCGTTGGTTAGGGATCAAGGGTGACACGATTTTAAGTAGCCGAGCCCTTTGTGTAAGATCAGTAAACAGTCAGGAGAGCCGCAAACCTTGCAATATGCTTCCAGCAGCTCCAAGAATTGCTGAACATTTTCTGACGTTTCCCTGCCTGCATCATCATTTGTCGCCTAACCGTGTCCAGTGGATAGCACAACAGACCGGAGCCAATCAGGCAAACCTTAAACAGTAAAACATAGCAGTATACACATGTTCTTAGCCTCATTTTAGTCTTCTTAAAGGCAAAGTCATGATCAGATTGCTGTGGCATTTCCGCTTGAATAGGGAAGTGGTGGACCGACCGTTTAGAAAAGGGAAAAGAAACTGAAACAATGTGTTCTTCATCTTCGCTGTAGAGGAGTCTGAGGGGCAGAGAGTGAAATGAGAGGTAGAGGACGGCGAGGAGGGGGAGCGTGGCGGAGGCGGAAGAGCACGTCGAAGGGCGCGCGGCAGAGCGATACCACAGCGGTGGACGTATAAACCGTAGGAGGGTAGGAACGGTAGTAAAGTATAGACTGGGAGTTAAAGGTGGTGAACTACGGCCGTAAACGGTGAATAATGAAAGGCGAGACAGCCAGATGACCCCGCTCTGAATGGCGAACTTCACTACATTCCTAGCAAACTCGCATCCATGGACTTGAACCATGTAAATGCAACGTCCTTCCCCACTATGACGCCTGGTGTCGCAAGTCTACAACCACTGGTCCTTTTCAGACTCCTATTCAGTTTCTCTACAAAACACAGTGTGTTCATCCACTGCACTGTGAGCGTAATAAAGCAACTGCGATCTGCTCTGCGATCTCCTACAGCGAAGGTCCATCTACAAGCAGGGTCAACCGTTACGTTGGACCGATATTGGAGCGACGTTGGACCGATGTTCACCGCTCTCCGCGCCGGCATTCACTCTCGCCACCCGCGAGCCGTCTGTGTCTCCGTGCGTACGTTCACTCTCGGCATTACTCTCGTCGTCGCGTTGGACTTTGTCCAACGGACGGTTGACCCTGTCTACAAGTACAAAACAAAACGATGGGGAACATGTGTGGAACAGTTACCACACAGACTTGCCAAACAATTGTCAATTTCATTCTACTCGCTATCAAGCAAGGGTTGGCTTTTCTCCAAGCAGCGCACGTAGGACACATGACATGTGCCCTACGCGCGGTGCTCTGCTTATCTGCATCTTCTTAGCGAGACAGTGAGAACAGCAATGCGAAAGGAAGTATCCCCAGGCCAGGGAATGGAGCCGGTTCACGCGGAGTGGGCAAGTCACTTTGCTTATGCGTAAAGTTGGAATATGAGAGTTCACAATATCTCTGTGAGAGCGCGTTGACGAGCAGCGCGCCGACTGTCTCCCCGCCCTTCCTCTCCTTATCCACAGTCACACCAAGATCATGGATACCGAATGGTGCTTGATATCACGAAAAGTATCATATTAGATGAGTGATACCTGTGCCAGCATCCATGTGGTAAGGAAATGCAGTTGCTTCGGATCTGCCACGCTAGTGCGAATCACGTCAAAAAGTCCGAAAAAAGCAGCACGCGATGCAATGACAAATTGCACGGAAGCGTTGAAACCTCTGCAAGAAATCGATAAGCATCATCGTCACGTGATAAGCAGAAACGTGCCTTCGCGATTCTCAAACCGGAAAGTGAGAAGTGCGACAATTCACAGCCACGCCTACCTGTACCAACTTAGCCAGCCCTCACGTTTTCTAATCGTTTCCAGACAGTCCAGCATGCCTTTGAATTTCCTTGAGCCATCAGAATTCACGTCAACAGCTAGTCGTGTACGGGCAAAATCAAATGGATATAGTAATAATAGAGCGGTGGCGCCGCCGAGGCCTCCGCATGCAACAGACCCTGAAATTAATGGCTAGGTTAAAGATGTCCGGACTGAATGGTACATGTGAACTACATTTACAGACTCAATATGTGTGATAATATAATGCGTATCAAAGGAGTACCCTACATATTCTTTCTATGATTAACTTGTGCTTACGAATCATTAAAATACATGATTTTAAAGGCACGTTCCGCGATCACTCGAATGATGTAACCCCGCCCCATGTGAGCTATCTGCGCTGCAGGAAAACAGGAAGTGCCTTATTCCACGGCTGCATCGCCCACAAATAATTCTTCGCCCAAGGCACGATTTCGATTTCGATTTGGCGTTTGCGTCTCTCTGACCTCTACCCTTCCCCTCTACTTCTTCTTCGGAGTCTCTCGTTTGAACACGCACCCTCTTCAGTGGTCGTGCAATGCCTAGAAGTAGCTGTGGTGGGGAGTCTTACTCGAGGTATTTTCGGCTGTTTTTTGTCATTGGGCCTATCCTCTATGCACAGAACCCTTGCATGAGGAGGATCCTACTTGCAGCTGCGCATCAGTCAACTCTATGCACTCTCACCCTCCTGATTCGCAAGAAAAAAAATACAGAGGTACCCTCCCCTTCAAAAAGCCAGAAAGTGTCGGGTGCAGACCAAACACCACAACTGACGACGGCCTCCAAGTAAATCTGGTTAGTAGTGGTTCATAGTGATAGCTGATTTTTAGTAAATGATAGTTGTAATTAGTGTCAACTGAATAACTGTAACAGGTTAATCATTTCATTGGCAAAAAACATTTGCATTTTCTGGAGGCCGTCGTCACTTGTGGTGTATGGTCTGCACCCGACACTTTCTGGCTTTTTGAAGGGGAGGGTACTGATGCAACAGTTGCCTTTTCACTGTGGTTTTCTGGTATAGCTGCTTGGACATCTAATTTGAAGTAATCTGAGTGAGATAGCTGCCTCTTTTATACTATTGTGAGATGTTAGACGAAATCCACATAAGACATAGAACAAATTACGAAGTGCTGGAATGATGGTCTGAACTTGTACGTAAACCAACAAAAAATCAGTGGATAAATGAACAAAGAACAGTGAAGTGCAGTGCAGTCTATGCTGCGAGTAAAAGCTTGACTATAACAAGTCGATTCGTAGGTATATTATGAAGTGGACTCAGCATGCGAACCTTGGCCCCACGGAATGAAGTGTGGCTTATCGTATGGGCGAAACAATCAAATCCTATACAAGCTCTGCCAGTGTTCTCCATACGGCAGTGCCTAACAGGGGTCGTAGTTGTTCACAAAAATAGTAAGCAGTGATCTGAGGACCCATTCTATGCACGTGTAAGAAATGTGAAAATAATACTCAGTATACTCAGTGTCTGAATAGGGACAGAAAGCTCGACGCAACCCATAGAAAATGGCTGACGTCAAATGCTTCGACATCTATAGATTAGGAATGAAATGAAATAGGGTGCTAACTTAGTTGGGGGGGACCACGCGGCGGCGAGGCGCTTTGCTCGCCTGGCGCTCTCTCGAGCGAGATAGTGTGAACTCGAACGTTCC